GCCGGGCCCGGCCCCCCGCCCCCCTGCCCCTCCCCCCACGGCCCAGGGCACTGGTGGCCTGGCCTGCCTCCCAGCTGCTCTCCCGACTCTGAGCTCCCCACTCTGTAAAACAAGACTCCGCATGCCTTGGTTTTTAAATCACGAATAAGAATAATGTGAAGGTTTGGTAAAGAAAACGAAGGGGGTGGATTTGGAGAGACTAGAGGGCCCTCATAGCCGTGAGGCGCTGGCCCCTCCACCAGGCCCCAGCGCCCCCGCCTGCTCAGTGCTCTAGGGGAGCGCGAGGGTGAGGTCCCCGGTCCTGTGCCCCGAGGGCTGTCTCGCTCATTCCAAGCACGTGTGTCATCTTCGCTTTGCTCAGTCCACCTGCCGTTCTCTGTCAGAGACAGAGGTTAGATGGGTTTGATGAGAGCCAGGTCTGGGAACTTACTACTCCGCTTTAGGAAAAGCTTCTACAAGCACAATAAAAATGCAAATTAAATTACAAATGAATCAAAAAGAGATTCTCATCTTTCTACAGCATGACCCCAGTTACATTTCCCACGAACGCCTCCAAAGACCTCCTCTAAAAACGTTATTAGATCCATGAATGTCCTAGACGGTTGATGGGTTTTCCCTCCAGTTCAGCTAAATAGCAGCATCTTATCGGTCAACAAAGACGTTTGTGCCTTTTGGCTACAATTAAGATGGAGGTTGGATTTGCACTTCACTTTAATTACTAATAGATTAATCCGAGTCTAAAAGACCATTCGTAATTCGCGGAGGGGGCACCTCTGCAGCCGGGGAGGGGGGTTTGTGGTTGACGGAAGCGGCAGAGTCAGTAGGCAGTAATTACAGACTTGCCACCTCGCTCAAAGCCGGGAAATATTCAGAGATTGCAATTAAATCCTTGGCAGTGACAATGCCTAATTAGGTGTAATCCTCCTTAGTCCAGATAAAAACAAAATACAACAATTCCCAGAGAAGCAAAAACCAGAAGGGAAAAATCCGTTTCCAGCAAAGGTCCGCGGCTGCCAGCGCCACCCCATTCCCCTCGTCTGCCCGGCTGTGGGGTCTCCACTGCGGACAGCACCGGCTGCAGCA